AGGACTGGTGACCCCGCGGGGGACCCAGCCTGGAGCAGTTCAGGAAGAACTGGTAATAAATTGAACTAATTTTCCTGAAGTCGAATCTGTTTTGCCTGTGACAAATTGCTGAATGATCTCCCTGTCCTTACCCTCCACTCATGAGCCTTTTGTTATATTTTCTCTCCACTGCACAGCTGAGAAGGAGAGTATGGAGCAGATGTGGTGGGAACCTGGTGTCCAGCCCAGGCTGACCCACCAGAGTTACATGCCTATCTTCCTTGGAAATCTTAAAGATCCATCTCACTTCAAAACTTTATAATGAAACTATTAAAGTCACGTAAACAAGCTCCTCCTCTAATTTAATTCTTTTTGATACTTGCCTTTTAAAAATGTGTAGTAACATCAGTCAGGAAACCAAGGTGTATATTTTCAGCTTGAATTTAGCAGATTTAAAAGCAAATAATTTTTGGGACAATGGTAGGCATATGCATTGCAGCTACCAGTCTGCATATTATTTAAACATAACTCAAATTTCACACTTTTGAAGCCTAATTCTTGTATTTTACCAATACAGTTGCCCTTGCTATTACACTTTTCACTTTACTGTAGCTATATCTCATGAGGTTTACTTTTTCTGTGATATTTTATTCTAAATGTAGAAGAATCTTGCTTGGTGCCAAGGGTGTGACTGGCACCATTGGTTTGGTGTGCGGGGTGGTGATGGATTTCATATTTCATGCACCTCTGCATATGTTTTCCACTTCAGGTGCTGTAAAAGCAAAAGAATCATATTACTTGAGAAAGACAATCATAAATACCCACTAACAAAATTTTTTTAAAACATAATACTTTTCAAAGTAGTTTTGATATTTCTATGCAAACTTCCAATTATTTTCATGGGAGACACACTTAACATTTAAATAAATGTCTCAAAAAGCAGAATTAAATACTCTTCTGTTCCATGACAAGACAGGATGAAGGGGTTATGATTACTTTCAATCCCCCTTGCATAGTTCTAAGTAAGCAAGATATTACATCAAAATCTGCTTTCTCAGAGACTGCACATGAAGGATTTAGCTGAAACAGCACCTAAACATCTCCAGATATCCTTACTGCAGAACTGTAGCTTTTTGGATTATGGGCTTCAATTATAGTGGTTCACTGAGTGAGACTACAAAGCTTTTTTTTTTCCTTTTTTTTTTTTTTTTGGCTTAAAGTGTTTTGTCCTGCTGCTTTGAGACTAACACCTCAGTTCTCTTCAAGTTGATCCAAAACTCTGAGGGAAACCTGTAATTCACATACCTACATCTCCTGCATTGTGACAACAACATCTCTCCTGCAATCATAAACACATCCCCCTTTAGCTGTAACCAGGCAAATGGATAGAATAGACATATTTAGTAAGATGACATGCTCAGAAGAGACTTTTTGACAGTGGAAATATTTTGCTTTTCAGTTCTGTAGGATTTGGCCAGGTGAGGAGATGAGCTGGGCTGACATACTTGTGCTGTCACCTCTCCTGTCCCCCACGAGGAAAGGGCCATGGGGACATTCAAACCAGGGTCTTGCATGGTATGGGGAGCTGTATGGTCAAACACTGGAGACAGCTGATGCCTGCACAGAGGCATGCAATATATCCACCTGGACAAACCAATTACTTCAGCGTCAGCATTCTCATCTCACCTATGTCAGAGGAAATTTCTCAGAGCAGCAGTCGTTACTTTACAGGAATTGTTACAAAACAGACAACACAGAGACATCTTAGATCCTAGAGGATGACTTCTGCCTCTTTCTACCCAATTTGCTCATCTTCAAGCAACACATCATTACTCAAATTTGAGCAATAACATGTAGACGGAAAAATTAAATAGATTTTGAGGTCTGGAGACTAACCTGGAGAATTTCACAGAACTTGGCCAGACGTTCCTTTCTCCAACTTCCTGCTGGGATTGACAATTATTAGTGGTTTAATCTCAGACATAAAGAAACCAAGTCTGCTTGATCTGTAGCAGACAGAGAGGTAAATTCCAGGTATCGCACAGCCCTGATCAGGAGGAAAAGCAAAGAACCCTCAAAAAAAGTGAAGGAGCATCCAAACATACACTTTAATGTAATTTTGATTGAGACAAATTAAAGTCTAGGAGCATGTGTCAGATACAGGAAAAAGAAAACAAAAGAAAAAAACCCCAACGAAAACCAGATGGAAATCAACGTACAGTGCAAGGAGTAGCAGCAAGAAGCCCTGAAAGACAGAACTGTTTCTTCTGCAGGGATGACCTGGAAACTACCAGCAGCTCATGATATCGACTGAGAGTCAGCAGTGTTCAAACAGGGCGGACCCAGGATCTCTTTTTTTTTTTTTTTTCCTGGCAAGATAATAAAAAACTGCTGCAGAACTCAGATTTAGTTACAACAGGCAAGAGGACTTTGGACAGTCTCAGGCAAGAGGAGTATGTGCATGCTTGGTATTTACTTCTGGTGTAATTACCACCAAATATACTGAGCCTAGAAAGCTTTTATGTAGAGCCAGAATACTATCGACACCTACAGCAAGTTTTTATACCCCTTTCAAATCCCACACGGCCTGAGGTAAGCAAGCTAGTGCAAACCATAGTCCAGAGGTTGTACTACTAAAAGATTTAAGTGTCATCTGCACTATCTAGCTGGCCTTTCATCAGATCGACCCATAACCCCCTATAAAAATCCTCCAGGTGACAGCTCATGCTCTCCCTTGTTTCCCTGCTACTGAGCATGAAAAATAGCTTCACAGTGTAAACTGCAGCAGGCTGGCAGGAGTGAAGAGGGAAAAGAAGTAAGACTTGCAGAAGTTTCTGTGATGGACAGGAAAACCTAATAGGATCTGCTGATGTTTTCTTAAACTAAACTGAAATTTGAGACAAGTACGAGACCAAGTTTAAAGTAGGTATTTTATTGCCTTTTACTAACTTTCCCCTACCATTTACTCTTGTTATGAGCTAGGCTTATAAATCCCTTTCCTTAGTTCTGCTTCAATTCTAGAGAAAAGGCAAATTACGCTTGTCTAACTACACTTAAGATTTTATTCTTTACGGAGAGCAGGGAAGAGCAGGTAGAGGTGAAGTACTCTAGAAAAAGACTGTGTATTAAAAATATTTTAGGAAAAAAAAAGTACATGATAGATCTACCTGGACCACTTCCCCTCCTTCCCCAAATAACGAAGACTGCACGTATCAAATAGAGTGAATGCAGATGGGGAAAGCGATTTGAAAATATGCATTTGTCCTCAAGGATCAGTACATTTCAGTGTTTTAAAAATATGGCTGGCAACAACAGACCTGCTGAAAACAAGGTTTACAGTACTGGTAATGTATTAGCTGGGGATATGGACTAATGGGAAAGGCTCTCATTTTGCTCCCAGTGCTGTAACAAGACATACCAACACATGAAGTTATTGAAAATATTCAAGCACAACAGTGGTCCCAGAGGAGCAATGCCGGGACTCGGGAAAAATGAGCGTGTTCTGGCAGGCATAGGAAAGAGCAGTATTTTAACAAAACCCCATTGAACTCTCCTCTAAGTTTATCGAATGCCTTTTCCCAACTCTGTAGACTAAAGACAATTTCTTGCTAGGAGTAAATGCATGTGCACAGAGAAATGGTGAGACTCAATACAGCTCAGGCATTGTTTGTTTATTCCACTGACCAAAGCAAGGGTTTCGGATGGGAACTACAAAAACAGACAAGATGATCTCACGGTGTTGATTTTGCTAAGGTGTTCCTGTTGACAGCTCCCTTACCCACTCCCTTCAGTAATGTCTCAATTACTTCAAAAGTAATTAACTGTCATATGGATGAATAAGTCAGGCATGATGCATCTGAATCAAAATAGTCGTGTGAACAACATAAAATTCCATTAAGGGATGGGCTGAACCACAACCCTAACTCCACAGTAGTATTTCTTAGCTACATATTACTTCTAGGTTTTAAGAGTTGACCAAAATAATGGATTAAAAAGCAATCTGTAAGTTATAAAATCTGAGACTTTACTACTGCCCTTATACCCTTATAGCATGTCATCTTTTTTTTTTTTTTTTTTTTTTTTTTTTTTTTAATATAGGAAGAAAAAGCATGATACTTGAAATATTAAAACATAGATGAAGTTATTATGAAGAAATAATATCCAGGACGTATGTTTTAGATAAAACAAACTATCTTTCAATTAAGATACTACAAAGGGGCCTTCACTTAGGCTTCTCAGAAAGACAAACTCTTGGAAAAAATAAATCTCAAGCTTCAACAGAGAAATAATATTGCTAGTCACTTCAGAAAATTTTGATCACAACTGAATGGTTTGATTGTTAAAGCAGCAGCTTGCCATTTTTCCCTCTACATCCTCCATTTCTGACAGCATTAACCTTCCTTGGCATGTGCATTTTTCCACAAAACCACCCACCTTCCATTTTCCTCAGACAGCAATGTGCTCCCTGCTGCTCTTTGCTGTCGCTTGCAAGAGGTGTTGGTTTGTTCTGGGTGGCAAGTAAAAAAGACCAGGGTCGTTGTCATCTGGTTCCCCAAAAGTGGTCAAACTTACATGCAAACCAATTGCAAGAGCATATTTCTACCTCTAGGAACAATACGTAATATCTGTTACTCTCTAAGCTAGATCTATTTTGGGGTCTACGTAGATATAGCAGCTGGGAGTGCTCCAAACACAGAATGCTTCAAAAATTAACATCAATGCATATATTAACATGAGGCAAAAGACTCAGGTTTCCTACTGCTTTATCTCCTCGGTGTAAGGCTTTGTATAGCAAGCAGCATAGTGCAGCTGTAACACTGGAGTTGCAGAGAAGTCCTCCTCACATCCAATTTTCCAGTTGAGTAGACTTTGTTTCAACAACGTCCAGCGTTGTGACAGAAGTCAATATTATTAAGAAATTCGCTCTCTTCAGTGCTCTTCTCTTTGCATAACCCATCAGAAGGTTTAATCAAAGTTCAATTCTACTTACTGAATCCTACTTGTATTTCAGGCTTAATTACCTAAAGCATCATCAAACCGGATCACCACTCCTTCAAGGGAGCTCTCTTTGTGGTACATGCGACCCAGGATCTGTAGTTCTCCTGCACATCTCCCGTCAGCTCACCTTTCTCTCCTGCCAGCCTAGAGCTCCTGCTTTCATCCAGGCAGACTGCAACACTCACAGAAATATAAGGCAGTCCTGCTAAAAATTATGAACTTTTACTGACTTTTTAATGAAAACTACTGCAAACGTCAGTACTGGAGAGTGATGGTACTGAAGAGCTAAACAGATGAGTATTGATTTGTTTGGATAGCATAGGAAGAACCATGTCGATTTTGCAGGTTTGTTTTTTTTTTTCTTTTAAATCTAAGTCATTAAATATTTACTGTGAATATCACCTGCTGAAGTGGAAAAAGTATCAAGCCAAGTGTGATGATACCGAGAGGAGCACACATACCGCAGATTACATTCTGGTAAAATGGCATTATGTCCATGAGATGAGTTTTCATTAGTGGAAATTTCCCAAATGTGGAAATCAGAATTCTAAGTATTTGAATCACCCACAACCTTGTTACTCAGTGAGCATTACTGTTGTATACAGATGTGATCTCTCCCAACTAATGCAAGTCACTTGGAAATATTTATCCCTTATTTTGTCTAGACCATAACATGCTTCAAGATGCTTGAGTGGTTAAGAAAAAAGCATGAGAAAATGGGCATCTCTATCTTTGCCTGACTCTCTTTGGAAGAAACAAAACCCCCAAACTTGAAAAGCCTCTCAATCACCATGTAAAGCAGGGTAACTTCAGCATCTGCCAATTGAATCCAAGGAGAATAATTTTATTTGGGTTGTAGCTCTCACTTGTGAAAGTCTAACTTCAGTTAGTTTGTTTTCCATGGGACATATTTGCTCTCACTCTGTTTCCACTGATGTTTTGAGTAGTACCCAAGTGGAAAATAGAATTAACATGTTGAGTAAGCTTTATTCCTCTTTAATTTGTTATTGCTGTCATTAAGAGTCTTCTATTTTACTTTGGCTAATTGTTACAGGAATGGCACTAGAACCGTTATAAATCTTTAAGTTGATTGTTTCATAGTGCAGTTTTTCCATGGGACAAGTCTTTTTTCATTTATCATGGAGGAGTCCAGAAAGTGCTGGAACCCAGAGGCATTAATAAGTCAAAGAAACTAACACACTTGCCATTCAGGAAAGGATAGAAATTCTTTCTATTTTGACATCTGAGAATTAGCAAAGTAGATTAAAAATTCAGAACCAGTTGGTAGACATCAGGGAACAGGCTGTTACTTACAGATTCATGTACTGAGGAAGCACAAGCTTTTGATATATTACGTTACCAAAGCTTAATTTCTATGCGCACAGTACCTCACCAGCAGTAAGGTTCCTCCTTGCCCCTTCCGTCTTGCTGCTCAAGACCATTAAAAAAACTGCTTTTAACTGTGAAATTATCTATCTATGAATTTTATACCAGATAAAAAAAAATATATTAAACAGTATGTGTTTAAATACTTTTACTAAACCTGGAAAACTCAACTATGTTTCCAGTCCAACTATATAAAAGTAACTCTTGATTGCTTTTTAAACCTGCTTAATCTTTTAAGTCCTTCTGCCAATTTATCTGCAGTGGTCATAAAACTAAATGCTAGCTTTTCTGTTTTCCCTTGCCTTCTCATATAATACAGTATTTGTCTTTTAACTGCATGTCCCTGTTTCACCAGCATTAACATCTGCCAATGCCTGTATAAACAGAACAGCATAAAATCTCTTTGGCATTTCTTTCAAAGTTTGTGTGTTAAGAGATATGCCCACGAGTTTATTTTCAATTGCCTGTGAAAACTCTTAAATGCAGTTAATCAATGTTGTAAAAGCAGTAGCAAATCATACCCCCCAAACCTGGTTTCTAAAAAAAAAAAATCATCATCACTTTAATCTTCACTCAAGCCCTTAGTTTCAACTCTTGATATTCCAACTCCCCTTCCAGTAAGGGTGTGGGCTCTTCCTACTTCTTCCAGAAAGTCAGTCATAGCTAGGCTGGGATCTTCTACTAACCTTGATAAATATATACTTCTGCAATTTTTTTCTTCAAATGATGTAAACCAAGGACAGAAAATGTTAAGACTCATTGCTACAGGGAACTTCAGGCACTATTAAACAGATAGCAGAGAAACATCCTTGAAAAAACAAAAAACAAAAAAAGTCTTAAAAACTTAATAGCAGCCTACCTTTTCCAGTTAGCAGCTATATCTCCCAAATCAGCTTTCCAAATCCTCTGTAGAGCTTTGTCTATTTGAAGTTGAGACTCTGCTTTTATCTGCATCACAGAAGCTGGATCTATCTCATTACAGTGTACCCCATAGGACAGAATTTAGAAGGTCAAACTAAGGTGCGCACCGACAAATCCTATTAGAGACCCCAGCATGATGCACGCTGAAGAGACATTCGGCAACAAAGGACCAGCAGCTTCCAAGTTTGTCTTTCTTGCTTAGCTGCTCTCTGATGGCTACAGCCAGGAAGACAGTTATCCAGCTTGGCCAGCTAAACATTTAAAAGCACTGCAGAAGACAGGGAAGATTAAATAAGCAACCGATCATAAAAAGGGCAAAACCCTCGTAGTTTAACACCTAAATAAGAAGTGGAGCTGTGAGCATCCATACTCTTTTCAAGTGGGTTTATTTATCTTCAAGTACATAGAATTTGGGCACAGATCTGCAAGCAGGAGGAGGTAGGCCAACCTTCAGTTTTATCTGAATAGTAAAAGAAATTTTATGAATCACTAAGTCAACACCTCTGACCTTGGGATAAATATAACAAATTACTTAAGCAGGACTAAAGATTGACAATTGATAGTTGAGAACGTTCCTTGCAAAAAATATTAACTATTGGATAAAACATAAAAAACTTACATGCATTCAATGTTCTTCAGAACTGCCGGACTTCATTATTAAGCACAACAAAAACATACTTTCCCAAGAAAAAAAAAAAAACACAAACAATGATAGCCAAACCAGCATTTTTTTCTAAACAATTATCCATCCAATAGAGTAAGTGCAGCAATAATTATGGGATATTAAAGATAATTCAGTAGGATCACATAGATAATAACTAATCTACAAGTGTAATTTTCTAGAAAAAAATGTAACTACAAAACATTCAGTGAATACAATATGCATTTATAAACAGTATCACTAGTGTATGGTATTTTGGAAATGTATGGTGCAAACTGAAAAATTTCAGTATGGGTATGAGAATATATGGTTGTATATATAAATATTGGAGACACACACATATATACATGCTTCCATGACACTGCTACTATCTACTACGCAGGTTCTTTGGTTTCGCAAATGAAGAATCTTTCTCATTAAATATATAGTTGCCACCTGCAATTTGGGGGAGGCAAATTTCTACCCTCTTGGAAAATAGACATGCTGTTACCACCATGTATTCGTTTGGCCTTTACTGGGTGCAAGTTTCACAAAAGGAATTTATAAAGTGAATTAAGGTTCCTAAACATTGCTGATGCCAAAGGAAAGACTTTTTTTTTCTTTATGCAAGTGAAATTACACACCTTAAGCAAGGTATCACAATTTCAGTTCATGTTACTTCATGCATCTGACCACTGACCTGGAATTACCTACATTTATATTAATCTTCTTGATAGCCTCCTAGATACACATCATAGGCTAAACCAGATTTTTTAGCACGCTTTGGCAGTTCTTCATGAGCAACAACTGGTAATTCATACGTTTTAAGTAACAACCCTTTGTCTGTACTTGTCTTATTGCATCTGCATCCCGTTTCTGCCACGCTTGCAAATCAAGCGCATTCTGGGCAGCGCCGATTGGTGAAGCAAAGCTTAAACTTGTACACAGTCTGTTGCATCTCTCAAGAATAATCTGCACATTCAACACTTAGAATGAAAGAAGGAGCAGGGAGAACTGCAGTGTAGGACTGGGGACAGACTTGAGCAAGAGCCTTCAGATAACAGGAAGCTCTGGTCATGAGAAATAAGGGAATGCTGTCAGGGGACATTAGAAGAAATTCCAACAAAACAAAACCCAGCAAAACCCCCAAAGGCCAGGGACAAGAGAGACATGCTCCAAAACGGAGCCCAGAGCAAACTTGCACATCACACAGACAAGAAACACAAGGGGCAGAATGGGTGGTGTGAAGAGGACAGCAGCCAAACACCAGCAGGGTTTGCTGTCTGCATGAAAAACTCCATCTGTACATACCAGTATGCAGGAAGGAGAAAGAGGAGACAGGAGAAAACAGACCTCAAAGAAAGAGAAGCAGGTAAATAAATACTAAATTTTAATTTCAAAGCTAGTGAGATTTAACCATAGGACATGCACCAATTTGACATTTCTTAGGGAGAAGAAGAACAAAAAAAAAGATTTTGTCATGTAATTTGTTGCTACTATGAAGATAAATACTGTGAGGTAGAGCAGCTCAATTTATATGAGCTGGTCTAACAGACAAGTCCTATCAGATGATAAGTGAAATTCAGGCTCTCTACAATTTAATTTCTTTTTTCTGAATACAGGAGCACATGCCAAAGTAATAAATCTAGGTCTGAAACTACGACTGTCCCGGTTGTTAAAAAACAGTTTTAAAAATCAGTAACAAAAATGACTGACAAATGGCTGCTTCTACAACTGGGCTGTATCATTGTATCATAGGAATTAAAAGAGGATGCATAGGGAGAAAGTCCTCGGTGGTACAGCAGTGGGTTAGGGTACGGTAACTCCAGCACAAAGAGTAACAGAAGTGGCAGACAGGTTTGCAGTACAGCGTGGGATGCAGTACAGTTCTGCCTGTGCCTACCAGCACCTCCGACCAGCGCTGACACACAGGGACGACAAACACCCTGTACACCTGCATGGTTCTCAATCACCCTCCCTAGGAAGAAAACACCCAAGCTGAGGGTGACACTGTGGGCTTTTCCACAGCCATGGGTTGTAGCTGTTTCATTAAACAGGTCAGACACCAAGTGTCTGCACAAGTACGTGGTGACACGACCTGCAAGCTGCAGGCAGCAGAGGTAGCTGGAAGACAACTTGTTACCAGCACCTGAAGAAAGAAATGTTCTCAGAACCAGGCAGAATGCACACCTCTGCATTTCCAGCCATTGCCACACTAATCTATTCTATTTTAAAAAAAAAAATAAATTTCTGTTACAGATTATTTGCACCTTTGGGCACATTGATGACATGCCTCAGAATAAAGGATCACGTTTTGCATTAAGTATTACTATCACTGCACAAATTCAGGGATATTTCTACTCAAAGCAGCTTCTTTCCTCTTTTCTGTCTCTAACGCAAATCATTAGTCCCTTTAAAAGAGTATTTGTTGATCACGTTTCCTACAATATTTCTTAGAATTAGGAAACATAAATAACTGATGGTGCTGCCAGATGAATCCTGTATTATCCAACTGCTAGGTTAAGAACAGCCACTTATAATTGATGGGCTACTTCCCCAGGACACTGTGTGACACTGGCTATTAGATAATTCCCACTCAAAGGTATTTAAAGTTCTTTGAAACTCCAGTACCTTTATCAAATGACCCTCCTCAGGCTTTAATTAAGGTCTTCTGAGGACATTTTCCTTCTGGTTAAATGACACCAAATCCTCTCTTCTTGCTGCAGTTTGTTTGGTTGGTTTTTTTAATAGCTAGCATTTACCTTTTTCTTTTACACATTTTCAACTATTTATAGTCTCCTGTTTATGAAGGATACAAAAACTCTGTATAAGCCTTTGCACTGCTCTCCCTTTGCATTCTTTTTCTTGCTTTCTATGTCAACGTTTATACAAACACAAAATCTGCAGAAGTATTTAAAAATTTAAGCTGGAAGGAACCTCAGCAAGATCATCTAGTCCAACGCCAATATCTCAAATTATTAGTCACACTAAAACCACATGAAGCTCCCATAGTCAGTACATATCAGATGATCAAAACCAAATGAAGATTCTTCCAACTTCTGGTTGCCATAGTACTGAGAACACTGTATGAGAATTCTGCTTCATCTATCAATATCCTGTATTTCTACAGTGCCTTTCGGCAAAGGACAGAATTATCAGTCCATCCCCCAGCCTGCATATTTACTGTCTAATACCGATAGCTCTGTCACAAATTCCATTAATCAGTCCAGTGCCAACTGCTGGCATTTCAACTGCAATTTTCACACAAAGTTGAACAGTCTTGAGTTTCAGATAACCAGGCTCAAGCAGTTTAACAATTGAAGATTATCAGTGTATTTTCAAAAGGAGTATGTCACCAAGCTAGAAAAATGTTAGCACATCACCGAGACTTGCACATCATCTGTATCACTGTAGAGTGTTCATACTTGTCAGATACTACTGTGAAATAAACCTTTCATCTTTGATTTTTTTGTGTGTGTGTGTGCAACTGTCTCATTTGCAATTCATTTTTTATAGTAAAGCCTATCTGGAAAACAAAACTCTGAAAATAGGTAGAATTTGTAAACTGGGCAGTCTCACTTGCATAAAATGAAGGGATCTAAAAATCAGTGCAAGCAGTGAATTGACACTTATTATTAGGTGAACATAACCACCAAGGTGTCAACAAGGGTGGTCACGCTCTCCTTTAGACCATTAAAATGAATTGACCAGACTAGGAGCTCAGCACCTGAGCAACTATTAAGTTGCATATGTGAACTGAGCTCTTGAACATCTAGAAGTTAATCAGGACATTTAAGGCTCTAAAGGTAGTTCAACAGTTTTCATACAGGAAAGAATCTCCACTCCACCCCTGCAAGCCAAGGAAACTATTTGGATACAAATTAGTAAGCCACATTTCCAGGAGAGAATAAAAGCAGTATAAGATGAAATACCGATGCACAAGTCTGTTTCCAGCTGAAAACAAGAGTAGCACTGCAGCAATTGTCACTCGGTATTAATGCCCACTTCACTGTATGAAATCAAGTGCTGTGTCGCAGGAGAATTTCAGCTTCTGGAATACAAGTTCCCACTTTTCTGCCATAGTGGTACTGCCACTGGTAACACTCCCCTTGAGTTACAGGCAAAAGAGTGTTTCACCCCGTTACACAATATACCATTACCCAAACTTTGTGGAGCAGATTCCAAGGGAAAGAATTTCCTTCTTGTCTTAGTCCTGAAAAAGGCTCGAACATCATTTAACAGCAGCTCAGAGATCACCAGCAAAACACTGTAATCTTTGCTTCTTGCAATGATTTTTGAAATTGCTTTTAACACAAATATACGTGTACAACACAAACATGTAAACTGCATGGTGTTATGCTCAGTTCCAAGCCTTCTGCAGTTTAAAGTGTTTAAACACGACGACACAAGGGTCAATCCCTGATTTTTCATTTTCTGTAAGCACCCGAACTAAATCCACCATTTCAGCAACTGCTGCTATTTGTTCACAGTATTTTTCCTAAAGCTGCTAAAATATACACTTCCATCCACCTACGCTCCAATAGCCTAGTACAGACAAAAACTGCAGCTACAAATAAATGAACCATTACTGGATAGATAGAAGAATTTCCAATTACATAGAAAACAGGGAAACTGGCAACCACATTATATAACATACTCGGTTCATTTATTTAGATAAATCTAACTCAAAAGTTACAACTTTTTAATTCCAGAAGTGTAATAAAAATAAAGTCTTTGTTGCTGCAATCCTGCAGTCGGAATTCCAAACTTGTTTTCATCGGGATTTTCCAGCTACTGTTGAGGTGCACTGGAACGTGATTTAGCTGCTTCTTTCCTAAAAAAGAATTGCACAAGGATCTTTCCAGTTGGAAAGTAAAACAATATTGAGAGATCATATTTACTGTTCCTCACAGCAAGACTTTAATCTGACTTTTCTTACCTAGCAGTCTCATGTAACCCAAAAAACATCTTTCCTGACTTTCCCACATCACGTGAAGCACAGCAGGATCTGATTTTGTCATCAGTCTCCATATCCCAGTACAAGAGCATTCAAATAATGCATTCTCAGTTCTAGGTAAACCTTTCATATTCTTGTGTGCTCATACACATACAAAAATCGAAGAGAGTACCATTTTTGGATATTTAGAAACAGTTATCCACAGTTAAATCTAACATTTAAATTGAACATTTCTCAAAGTTATATGCACAGAATTTTCACTGAAGGCTGTAGGTCTGCTGCATGTCCTTCACTGAAAGGGTTATAAAGAGGGACCGTGGATCCTTTCTGTTTTTGCAGACTGTTATCTTCCCTCTCAGGGCCTCTCCTGCAAAAGTAAAAAGGAAATTAGTACGCTTACATTACTGAATCATGCACAGTAACAGCAAAGATGCATTACATACCCTTAAATTGCATGAGAAGCTGTTCTCAGTCAGAATTAAACAAGTCTACAAAGGTTTCATTTACATTCTCAAGGCTCTAAGCAATGGTCCTGAAAACAAACCTAAGTTTAACTGCAGTTAAGCCTGGTAAGGTGCTGAGTTCTGATACTTTATTTCTCAAATTACCCACCCAAAGAGCTAACAAGCCAATTTTACTTGCGACTGCAGAAAAAACGCTGTATTCCTTGGATACATTAACCTCTCTTTGTATCTGGTTGAGATGGATCAGCATATCACTACCAAGCATTCCCAGGCACACAGAGGCCTCAGCTGGACAGGTACTAAGTGTCCATGTACTATGTGCCCCCACGCACCCCTGAGCTTCAAATATCAACTTGTTTTTTCATGAAATGATATATAACATCTTGGAAATTCTTGACCATAGATTTCCATCTATGAACTAAATTATTAGCAGTAATAAAACAGTATAAAAAAATTGCTAGTCCACAAAAATTAGTATTCCATTATTCCTTTGCTGAGGTCCCTAATTTCAACGCATCACTACTATCAACTTTGAGTAAAACCAAGTAACCACAAAAACCTATTCCACTTCCTACTGCGTATCCCACATGGTTTGGATTTGCACTGCATTTCATTTAAGCTCTAGTTAGAGGTAATATTTTCATCTGGCAGGGAACATTAACACAGAAATCTTCGTGGCATTTCAAGTATAGATACATTATTAATAGCAAGTTTCGTTTTACAATCACACTTTCTTGACCATAACACTTGGCATACATGTGCTTCAGCTAAAACCAGAGAGAACGCTTTGATACGGAAGGAAAGAGCTGAGGCATCTAGAGCGGCACAACTCTCACTTTTGGTGTTACTAAATTTAAGTAAAAGCTCTCATCCTAGAGAAATTCCAGGCCTTGATGTTTGTCTGTTGAACATTTTGTCCTAGCACTGATCAAGCCTGGTTCCATCCACAGAACACATCCACATTCATTACATACTTCAAAGGTCTGTTCTAGCTTTTAAAAGTACTTTCAGATTCTGAAATTAATGAGCAGAAAAATGAAACCTGCTGTGCCAGCTTAAGAACTTGTGTATACTTTCCAAGAGATGTTTTACTTTTCACACACAAGATATCAGTTGTGGATCTCTTAAGTCCTGTTTCATGACCTAACAGTCCACTTTACCATTGTGCAAATGTACTCAATGGATATGATGTGAAAAGCCTTAATAGCTATGTACCCTCTGAAACTTTATACAGGACTAAACGAAGGGACAATGAACCCATTTCTCTATAGGCACAGCTCTTAACTTCTTTTCCCCCCTGCATCTAATATCCTTACATTAAGATAGCAGAAAATGAGACTCACAGATATTAGGAGCTCCAGGAACTGATTCAGGCTATATGAATTTAAGACAAGACTCACAAGTTTGTATCTGTCCCGTAAAAGTCACACAAACTGAAATCCACAGCCAACTCCAACTAGTCGCAGGGTTTACTATTTGCTTGTTTGAAAGCTTTATTTAAAAAGCAGTTTTGAGTGACTTGGCTTTCAACAAGGTTCTTGATTTCCAGATACTTAAAGAACAACTTTAATTAACAATATTCATATTCCTGAGTACGAAGGACAAATTTATAGAGAAGATGGTACGGAAAGACATTAAAGAGAATTTAGTTTTTTACTAGCTTTCACCTGCTCCCCCAACCCCTATCCCATGCACCAGCAAATTCCATATTTCCTGGGCAGTGCCTTAAGATTCTTCCAGACTTGCATGCCTGACTGGGAAGCAAGGGGGTAACAAAAAGAAATGCCTCAGATCTCTGCAGAGCAAATATATGGGGTAGTGTTTCATAAATTTCCCTAAAGCGTATACAACTGGCATTTGGGCTACATCATCCCCCCTAAATACTGAAGAGAAGTTAATACATTTCAAAACCATTAGTGTGGCTGTTAATCTGTACTTGGAAGACTTTAGCTTTAAGTCTTTCGTTTCAGGGAAAAAGAAAAACAATAAAGAGGCAACGGAATGGAAACAAACTGCAGACTTATTTGCAAATGTAAATTTCTTTGTTGATAGAGACATACATGCCTAAATGTATTAATGTCACATATGGATGAAAAGGTATGCTTATAGTACACTGTGCAGAGAGATTGCTTCCAACACAGATTAGCACAGGAATTATTTCAGACTTGTCACACACAAAAATAACTAAATCATAGTTTTGATAAGAGCTCAGGAAACAACCCAGAAGTTGAACCCAAACACCTTCAGGTTAGTCTATTTTACTTATTTACAAACAAGTGAAATTCAACCGCCTGGACTGCAGAAAGGCAGAATGGATTTTCTGTTTTTAAATACAATAATGTGTGAAATTTTTAAATAGCACCACATTTATGTTAGAAAAAAAAATAAAATAAAACTTTAAGCCAACAGCATTAGCATTTTCAAACAAGGTATCTGAAATGATGTGCCCCAGCAAGAAACTAATTTTGAGGTCGGAGGATCTTCACCTTCTATAATATAGTGGGGGAGTGCAAGAATCGGGGTATCTTCTTTGGTGGCCTTCAGTCAGGTACTCAAAAGGTCAGTTACAGCTCAAACTTTTATGCAACTGATAAGTCACCACAAAAACTCTGTATTGAGAAATTCTGTTCCTATAGCTCTACTCTAGCTTGATGACCAACATACACACTGCATTCTTTTTATCTTTTGGAAACTACGCACAGTGAATATTCTAATATCTAAAGAAAAAAAACCAAACCAGACACAGATACAGATGATGCCTCATATTGTAAGGAAATATTACCTACACAGGCTTTTTAACCTCGCTTTTAATGAGCTTACCAAGTGAATTTTTCTTAATTTGACTATGTTTTTGTGAAGACTGCTGCTTGCAGTTACTCAAAAAAACTAATCTCAATTTATTTGCAGTCCTTAATAAGACTTGCAAATTAAGTTATATCTGTAAATATTTAGGAAGTCCATTGCTGAGCCACTTCATAACCACACAAACTACATCTACGCAGATAATTCTACCAAAGACATCATAGGAGGGCGTGATGTTGATCTACAGCACCACATTCTCTGCTACTCTTCCCTTAAGGCCTCCCTTGCCCTGTACATCCTCATCCCTCACACCAGACACATCTACTATTACTATTTTTCTATTTCACTAGATTCAAAATATTTCCCAGCTGTTCATTGTTTACTGTAACCTAAAAAGCTATTGTTTATGTTCTGTTAAAAAGCTGAAGTTTTCAATTTCTTATTGCAAAAATGAAAACAAATAGCAATTTGGAATCCGGTTTCAAATTCAGGAAGAATTTTAGAATTCTCCATTCGGCACAATTCTCAGTTACATCCACTAACAGTAAAGTGACACAAGATCCACATTATATATCATAAATGCAGGATATTTTGTCAAAGGCTGAAATATAAACATCAAAGAAAGAATGACTATGGTACCAATACTTGTATAAAAGATTAAAAAAATATACATTTTCTTTGGTAATTCTGTGTTCTCTGCATAATTTAACAGTTAGTTGGAGATTCCACTAAAGTTTCTGGGCAGATTTATTATTAGGACACAAATGACTGATGTGATACAATGTGATTTGCAAAGAACTGATAAAATGGTTTCATAGATTATTTAAACAGAGACAGATTTGCCAGGTAGAAAGACAGGGTAAATTAAAAAGGGGATTAGAGCTTCTCTCCAGCTAGGAAGTTGAACCTGATTTGAAGACACAGATTTTCAGAATTGCTGAAAAATGAATTATTTGATATATTTTAACATCCTAAAACAACAATTTTCAAAACATTAACACTAAAAAGCCTATGAAAACTAAAATTCCACAATTTAAATGAATCCATATTTCAATCTTACCATTTAAAACATTAAAACAAAGCAATACAATAAAGTTAAGAATTTAAATTTAATTACATAAATTATAGCTCACTTCCTAGAACAAAACCCCTCAGCTTCTGTTTGTAAAGGCAGTTAATAAAACAAAGCACTCCATTTTTCTCAGCTATTTCTTATGCGGTAATCACATTAAATCTGCCTTTTCATCCAATCTTTCTGAGGGCCGAAGCAAACAACAGCAGTGCAACCCAATAACAGAAAGGCAGTTCTGAACAATTAATCAATGTCACATAGATAGAAAATGACTGATGTTTTTTCACCATTCTGCTGTCCTGTGAGCTGCCTGGAGGAAGCTGTCTCTGGGACTCAGCTGCATCACCTTGCTCTTATCACGCTCAGTTGAATGCAAGTAAACCACACAGTGCCATTGCAGTCTGATTAGGACAAAACTGAATTCATTACGAACCCCTTCCTGCATTTTTATTATCCCTTGGGGAGCCCTGAAATTTGTCCCCAAAAAGGAAAAAAAAAAAAAAAATCAGCAGAAGTGCTGCACAAGCTTGCTAGCAGGGAAAAAAAAAAAAATCCCTAAATCCATACTGATAAATAATACACATCTGATTCCACACTTCACAGGACACCTTATACATGTGCTCTGAACATTCAAAATATTTTTTTTAGTTCTGACTTTTACCATCAGTAAAACTGCAAGCAACTGCATCTTTCAGGTGTGTAAGACCTATGTGTTTAGGCCCAACAAATCATATTTTTTTCAGTCTGTAACCTGATTGATCTAAAAGGATTTGACCAAGCCCAAAGATTCCATGCAGTCTCCTCCTGCATATGTAACCATAACATCTACTTAAGGCTTAAAATGATCCATGGTAATGAACTTGTCATGTGAAGACAACCCTGCCTTTTAATGCAACTTGGTGTTCCCTCCCTCTGTGATTATGCAAAAGATTGGAAGAGGTACTGAAGGTAGCCAGCAATCCTTATCTTCCAGGTTTCATTCTTTTCTTCCTGCGCAAGAGCTTTATGAAGCTAACAGTGAGACAAATA